ATCAAATGCCGGAAAGCCATTGGTCGAAACTACGCCATTCCACTTTGCCCTTGCACCACCGCAACCACGCACGGAAGCATGGGGCACCGTGGACGTATGCCGCACAACAACATCATGTCGAGCAGCGACACGCTCAAGATGACGGGCATCTGGAAGGACACGATCGGATATGACCCGTACGCCGCCGATGTACGTCGCCCTCGATCGTCCTCGCAGCCGCCTCATGGCCACGGTTCGTCTAGGGCGAGGGCCAGGACCCAGGCCAGTCCGCGTCCTCAATCGAGCGCGCCAAGGGCTTCATGGCGCTGGCAAAACTCTCCAACAAGGCGGTACGTCCTGCTTCTCGTCGCTGGACCAAGCCTCATGCCGCGTTGTAGAACGACACGCGCGGCTCGTGCAAGAAGGTACGCGTCACTGCATTCCGCGCTCGTCTCTCATGTGACCTAGTGCGGCGCCATGGGCCATTTGACCTTTCAGTGCATGAACTTTCTCGACCAAAGCGCCAACCAAAAGAAGCTGGTGCGCCCACGCGTCTTTGCATGCTGAAAATGGGACGAGCATGCGACTTACGTAGGCGGCCGAGAGCAGCAGCGACGACGACTCGTCCTCGTCCTCCGAGAGCGAAAGTGAGAGCGACCGCGGCCGCCGTCGATGTCGGCGAGACCGCAGCGTGAGTCCCCGTCGCGCGTCCAAGCGGCGCAGCCGCAGTCCCAAGGGCCGAAGCCGCAGCCCAAAGACTCGGAGTCGCAGCCCAAAGACTCGGAGTCGCAGCCCAAAGACTCGCAGTCGCAGCCGTAGTCCGCGCGGGAAGCGGTCAAAGGAGTCGAAGAAATCGCCCAAGAAATCGTCCAAGAAATCGTCCAAGCACAAGCGCCGTAAGGAAAAGTCATCAAAGAAGTCGTCGCGGTCGCACCGCGACTAGTCACTAACGTCCAACACCCCCTCCTAACCTCCATTGTTTCCAAGTGCATCTACCTAATCGTCCCGCTTCCTCGCCCAGTGTCTCGCACAATCAAGGTTCCATCATCGCAGCCGGTTCCCAAGCTACTGCAACATCCCTTGCTCACGTCCATGCACATGGCGACATGAAGCAGCAGGTCGGTCGAACGTCAATCACTCTCGAGTGGTCTTGGTGCTCTTGATCCAGGTCCTTGCTACAGCAACGAGCGTCGACGACGGCGACGATGCAGTTTGCATGCAGACGTCCAAGAGCGTCGTGTCGCAGGTGGCGCCAGGGCGTGCCACGTCGTGACGGCGGCGGGCGGGACGCACGGGGGCTTGGGTGCCGCTGCCACCGTCGCACGCCAAGCTAGCGTATGCGCTGCTGCTGGTCGAATGCACATGGCTAGTACGCTCATAGGCCCTCGCAACCCTCGCAGGCGGCGTGGCGGTGGCAGCGTCGGTTGCGTGTGCCAAGACAGTGCACTTGACATCTGTATGTATATCGGAATGATTTGGGCGACTTTGCCGTAAACTTTCATCTCTCTTTTTGCTTTTGGCAGAGATGGTAGCCTCGTCGTCGGTCGACGATGTCCCCGGCAGCATCGAAATGGGCGACGCCGCCTACGCATACAAGGGACACCTCGTGCTCTCGTTCGACGACGAGACTGAGCCATCGACAGGCAGCGTGTGCTGCTGGCTGCGCCGGTCGGGCGCACTCACGTGGGCGGCGCCCGGGCAGGACGTCCGCGTCCTCGACTGCCAACTCGCGTTCGCCGACGACAAGGACTTTCTCAACGAGCGTTTCTTCCTCTCGACGCCGTCCGGGCAGCTCGTGACGGCCATGACCAAGTCCGCGGCCGACCGCGACGCTTGGCTCCTCGCGCTCCAGCTCGTCCTCGAGAAGCGCGTGACACCGAGTCCCGCTCTCGTCGAGACATCGCAGTCACAGCGCACGGCCAGTGCTGACGTAGTTCTCACTCGCTTTCGCGACTGGCAGAACCTGCTTGCGCTGCAGGCCAACGACCCATTAGGGCTCTTCAAGGAGACGCGACATTGGAGCCGGCTCGGCGCCAAGGACAAGGCTGCGTACCACGACTTGCAGGAGTACATGGACAGCGGGCCCATCGACGTCTGCAGCCTCGTCGCCGGGCTCTACACGTACATGACGTCGCCCTTCCTCTTTGTGTCGACGCTCGCGCAACTGGCGGTCGTCGCCGAGTCGGACGTCGCGCACCTCGGGATGTACTGGCCGCAGATTCTGCACTGGGGTTTTGCATCTCTCGCGTCGTGCCAGTCGATGGCCATGCAGCTCTTCTACGTCCTCTTCCTCGCGGGTGTCGGGCGCCGATCCACGGTGTTGGCGCTGCGGACGCACTGGGACGCGGTAGCCGCGCGCACCGACGGCGCCAAGGGCCACGACGACGACGCCTGCTTTGGTGCATCGCTCATGCAGTTTTACGGCGTGTACGTGGGGCTCAATGCGACGGCATCGACGACGGAAATGGCGAGTCTTGTGCTGGGCCCCACGACGTCCGACCACGACGCCATGCAGCTGCTCGACCAGCTCCTGCATACCACCCAAGCGCTACGGTCCAACTCGCGGTCCAGCTCAGTCTTTGGCGCGTGGCTTGGGGCCCTCACGCCGTCCGACGTCGCGGCCGTGTCGACGCAGCTGGATGCTAACCGGTTCCTGCCACCATTTCCCGATGCGTCCAGCCCGGTGGCGTCCGAGCCGGTGCAGGATCTCCGCAGCATGATCTTGCTACCGGGCGACGACGACGAGGCGTTCTTTGCCGACCTGGATACCGTCCTCGCCGAGATGCAACCCGAGACCGCCATTGACGCACTCGACGTGTTTGGCGACACGGTGCACCTCGTGCAGTCGCTTGTCGTCGCATCGCAAAACTTCAAGCGCCAGTTCAATTCCGGCAAAGACCGGAAAGCGCATCTTCCACATGTGCTCTCGCGGCTAAGCGCGACGCTGCCGGCCCACGCGATTTTGCCGCTGACTGTGCACGACGACACGCAAAAGCGTGTGCGTAGTATTGTGCCGACAGAAGGCACGGTCTTCTCGACGAAGGCGCGGGCGCCGACCATGGTCTTCTTCGAGACGATCGCGATCACCGAGGCGACGACGGTGCGTCATCGACCCGACCCAGCTACGGACGCAGCGCCGACCTCGTACCTCCTGGATGCGTTTCTGGATGCGGACCTTGGGCGTGATCGCCGGGCGTCGACGGCATGTCGCAGCCACAGCCGGAGCACGCCACGTCCGAGTGAAGACTGCGTTGGCGTCGATCGGTCGTTCGTGTCCGACTGCCCGGTCGCCCTCAAGCTCCTAGAAGGCGAGGATGACAATGATACCAACAAGATGGTGGCGGAGATCAACCCGGCCGAGACCGAGTCGTTCCGGGAGAAGCGCTCGCGACTGCAAGCACAGAGCCTTTACCGCTCGGTACGTCCTCTCGACGTTGATGGTGCCATGGGTACATCTGTGATAGGAACTTGGGTGGGACTTGGTGCCGGTCATTGCCAAGAGCTTTGACGACATGCGGCAAGAAGTGTTCATCATGCAGCTTTTGCACATCTTTGTCGAGTGTTTTTGCGACACGGAGCTCGTGCTGCGCCCGTATACGTACGTGTCGGCACCATGCTATCGTTGTGTGTGATTTCAGCGGTAGCATTCTCTGCTGTGGCGACGACTGCGGGCTCATGCAGGTCTTGCTGGACGCGGACTCGGTCTCGGACGTCAAGAAGCATCATCCAGGACAGTCGCTCGACGCCATCTTTAGGGCGCGGTACCCGATACGCGAGCGGCTTGCGGTGCGTACTTTGTGAGTAAATTAGTTAGTTGGTCGCTCACTGAAAGTAGGTGGCCCGCGATAACTTTATTCGGTCCATGGCCGCGTACAGTCTATTTTGCTACATTCTACAGGTGCGTACCTTGGTCATTTGGATTCGTATTCGCATATGATCTTGTGCGATAGATCAAAGATCGCCACAACGGCAATGTGATGCTGCACGTCGACGGCACGATTTTGCACATTGATTTCGGCTTTGCCTTTGGGATAGCTCCGGGCGGTACGTCACATTGTCGTCCACTCTACTAAAGTTATAATGGTTTATGGGACTAGGTCGCTTTAGCTTTGAGCGCGCGCCGTTCAAGCTCACGGATGAGATGGTCCTCACGATGGGCGGGAAGGAGAGTCCGGGCTACCAGCGTTTTTTGCGGCTCCTCGGCGACGGTCTTTTGGCCCTGCAGCACCATGCATCTCGTGTACCGTGTGAGATTTGAAGTGGCGATGATCATCGCTGCTGTAGATCTTGGCGCTTGTGAGCATGACGGCCAAGAAATCACCATTCCCGTGCTTTGTGGGGCAGAACGTCCCCCTGCTCCTCCGCCGACTCCAAGATCGACTGTGTGTGGGCGCATCCGACAGCGACGTCCGGCTCCACGCACAGCGACTGGCCGACCAGAGCTGCAATAGTCTGCGCACCCGCCTGTACGTGTGCCTCTATGACAAAGGAAGCAGAGATGACGATGCTTCTGTGGTGTAGGTACGACCGGTACCAATACCACTCGAACGGGTATGTTAGCTGATCGGGTATCCTTGGATTTTCATAAATGTATATATTTACGCGATTGACAATAATGACCACACGCTTGCGTGAACATCTCGCGAGTGCAGAAGGAGAAAGACGCATCGGGGTTCCTCGCGCTGCGGTGCCATGACCGTGTATAGGAAGGAGTTCGATCATGCCATTGTTATCGCTCGCTAAAAGAGTAATTTTGTAGCTGTAGTTGTTAGTAGTTGTGGCGCGTGCAGCCTAGCGTCAGCAGCGCGCGTTATGTGAGATTCGGCCGGCCAGATTCGGTACATGGACTGGCAGGACACATGGCGGCGAAGAGAGCCAGCTCCAGGATCGGCGTCAACTCGGCTATCGGCGCTCCAAGTGTCGTACGGCCTCACCGACGCTTCGTCTCGGCTAGAGTCCATTGTTCTACGAATGGATTCACCTCTGGTATTCCTAGTCGAGGGTGTATGACCTCTTCTGCCAGAAGCCACGCACGCCTGAGGTTGGGAGAGCCTGGACAGGACGGGCGACGTTGTTGACCTTCCGTCACTGCAAAGCGATGCGTTGAGGCTCTGTGCGTCGTTGATAGAGCACTGGTGGTATCGGCTGGCTCGCTGCCTCGGGCCCGGCCCGCCTCCTCTTGATTTCGCGCTTGGCGAGCGTCGCGTACGACGACCTGAAGCTGCCACGCGAGGATTGGTGCCTTGTCGGCCATGTACTGTACTGTATGCTGATTGGCGCTTGTCGTACATGCCGATCTGTGATTGGTCGGATCGAAACAAAGTTCGGCGAAGCGGCCCAGTCCCGATTCCAACCGAGAGATGTGGCAGTCGCTGCTGGGGCTGCCCGAGCCGATCATCAAGGCGTCGGCCGCCGAGACGCGGCTTGGCGAGGTCGAGACGCGGCGCGCCAAGCAGGCCTTCACGCGGGCGTCGGGCCATGGCCACATGACGCGGCTTGTCTTTGTCCACAGCGTCTTGCGCGAGGTGCTGCCGAGCATGCCGATCCCGCTCGCGGAGCGCTTCTTCAACAGCATCAACCTCGACGTGACGGGGCACCTCAAGTACAAGGAGTTCATCTCGGCCATCGCGGTCCTCAAGACAGGCTCGATGCGGGAGCGCCTCAAGCTCCTCTTCCGGGCCCTCGACTCCACCGAGTCGGGCGCGATTGGCAAAGGCGACGTCCGCGCGTTCCTTCTCTGGACCATGACAACCCCCAACGTCGCCGCCATCGGACACAACGGCAAGACCTGGACCGCCGTCATGTTTGAAGCCGAGCTCTTCCAGAAGCAAGAGAAGCTCAAACTCGATACGTTCCGGACGCGCATGGCCAACCTCAAGGCCGAGAAGATTGCGCTCCTCGAATGGATTCCCGCGCTCGCCAACGCATTTGTCTTTGACGAGGTGGTCGACGTGCCCGCGTCGTCGCCGGCGCCGCGCTCGACACGGTCCACCTCCCTCGTGCTGCCGCCGTCGGCCGCCACGACCCTCGCGTTGTACACGCTGCCCAACTGGTTCGACTCGGACGTGATCGCGTTCCGCGCGACCTGCCAGCAGCTGCGACAAGAGTATGCGTTGCATGACCTCGTGCCAGACTCGACGGTCGCCGACGCCTTTGCCATGCACATTGATCGCGCCGTGGTCATGGCCGTCGGCGCCGGTGCCGACCGAACGCTGCGCGAATGGCTCACGCGGCTCGTGTGCATTCACCGGGCGACCGTCATGGAGGCGCTTGGTGCGCTCTTTGACGTCTTTGTCGACCGCAACAAGACCCAAGTCACGTCGCAGCTCGCAGACTTTCTCTGTACGAGCCACTTAGATGTCGACGTGGTGCTGGACCCTTTGGTGCTCGTGAGCGCGAATGCAACCTCGCTCTACGACGAAGTCCTGTCGTACCTCGAAAAAGAGGCACCGCCCGTTGCATTCGAAGAGTACTTTACCTGGCTGCAAGACTACCCGGTCGTGCTCTGGTTGTGGCAACAGCTCCTCGACGAGGTCCACGGCCGCCTCGCGACGAGCATGAAGGACGGTCATCTCCACCGCGTGCCGCTGGTGAAAGCACTCCGGAAGCTCCCGGACGCAAGCCCTCATATTGATGGCGGTCTTTGGTTTGGCATCGATGCGACTTGGTGGCAGCGGTTTGTCCAGTGTGAGACACAGATGGGACCCGTCCAGCCGAGCGAGAGCGGCGTGTTTGTCAACCCGAGTGTGTGGCACCTCGTCAGCCATTGGTTTCCGCCATCGACGCCATCGACGCCGATCGTCGTGCGGCTGACGTGCCGGGTCGGCGGTGACGCCGAGATTCGTCTCGAGACCGACCCGCTCACCGTGGCGCTCGTGCTGCAAGACGCCAAGACCACGTACGCGCTTGGACTGTAGTTTGTTGCTGGGTTAGACTTGGGCTACTGTATAGATCGCCGTCGGTGGTGCGACTGAGCCAGACAACATCGATTGCTCGGCTGCCGGTGCTATTGCGAGCCCACTACAACTTGGCGCCGTCGACGCCGTTCAGCGTGCTCTGGCGACCGCAAAAGTCGGACGACGCCACGAGTCTGCCCGCAGGCGCGCGCCTCGGCGACGTGGCGACCAAAGGACATCTCGAGCTCCTCGTGCAGTGTGCTGCGCTGTTGACGCCGTCGCCAACGGCCGCCGTGACGCTGCGTCCGTCGACGCCGGTCGTCGGACTGAGCAACCTCGGGAATACGTGCTATATGAACTCGGTGCTGCAGTGCCTCTTCCACACCCCGCTCTTACAAGAGTTCTTTGCGTCCGACGAGTACCTCTACGACCTCAACACGGTAAACCCCATGGGCATGAAGGGCGTGCTCGCGGCTACGTACGGCGAACTCGCCAAGGTCCTCGCAGCGCTCGCAACGTCAAGTCGCAACAAGACGCGTCCGATCGCACCGCAGCGGCTCAAGTTTTGCATGGGCAAGGTCTACGCGTCCTTTGCCGGCAACCTCCAGCACGACGCGCACGAGTTCCTCTCGGTGCTGCTCTCGGGGCTCAACGAAGATTTGTGTCGACCGGTCGCTGGAGCCGGCACTTCCAAGCCGTACATCGCCTTGCCCGACAGCAACGACCGACCGGACGTGGACGTGGCGGCCGAGTGGTGGACAGCCCACGTCCTGCGCGACCCCTCGATCATCACTGCACTCTTTACCGGCCAGTTCAAGTCGGCGCTCGAGTGTGCGAGCTGCCACGCGACCTCGAATCGATTCGAGCCGTGCTCGTTTCTGCAAGTGCCACTACCGCCCGAGCCGTTCCGGTGGCTTCAACTGCAGTACCGGCGGTCGTCGTCGTCGGCCCGCGTCTCGGTCCAAGTCCGCGTACCCACGAACGGTACGATCACGGACGTTCTCAAGGAGATCGACACTCTCTTTCCGGAGTCGGCCGCTTCCGAGCACAAGGTGGCCGTCGTCATGGGGGCCCACCGCCTCGCCCATGTTCTCAAGCCCACCTCGTCGATCGCCGAGCTCTCGCTCGAGCACCTGCACGTCTTTGGCGTGCCTGTGCCCGACGAACCGTTGCCGACGCTGTGGCTCCAAGCCGTCCACCGGTACCAGCGCATCGTGCCCTTCTACTTCCGACGGCCGTTCCGCGTGCATCTATTTGGCCACCCGCTCTTGGTGCCGATGGCCAAGACGAGCGCCGAGCTCTACGCGTGGCTACACACGCATTTTGCCCCGACACCGACGGTCAACGGCCTCGCGCTGGTACCATCCAAATCGTTTTAGTTAGTCGGATATGGTGCGAGTCGTCACATGGTTGAGTAGGAAACCCCGGTTTTGGCCAAGGCGCCGAGCATGGAGTTTGCGATTCCGTCGCTGCAAACGACGACGTCATATGGGTTCACACTGCGGCAGGTGCTCAAGCCCGACGGTCTCTCGTGCGCGATTTGTCCGTGGACCTCCCACTGCCTCGGGTGTGTACTGGACCCAAGCGATGCGACGACGCGCCTCGAACCCACGGCCGCTACGATGCTGGCCATCGACTGGCACGACGGTACGCGCTTTGCAGTCGTTGGAGCGGCCACGTATCGGGCGCGTAGATGTCTTGTCGGCGCGCATCGTGCAGGAAAAGGCGGCGTCGACGCCCGAGGCAGCGACGTCGCCGGTGCACCACTCGACCCGGCCCTCCAACTCGCTCGAGGTACGCAAACCTGCTGGTCAAAGGACGTGCGAACGGGGCGTAGGAGTGCCTTGAGATGCTCTGTTCGAGTGAAAGCATTGACATGGGCTGTGGCAAGTGCAAGACTTCGACAGAGCACTCGAAGCGGCTGTCGATTCACGGCGCGCCGCCTGTCCTCGCCGTGCAGCTCAAGCGATTTCAGAACCTCTCGTCGTCGGGCCACCGACCCATCAAGGCCGAAAATGCAATTGCATTTCCCACACACAACCTCGACCTCGCTCGGTTCATGACACCGACACCACCGACATCGACGACAACGACGACGACGACACCGGCACCGACACCGATGGAACCGATGGATCGGAAACGACCGTTTACATCGACGTCGACCGAGACGCCGCTCTCGGTGGCTTTTCCGTCACCGACGCAAGCGGCGGCACCGGATGCCAAGTACGATCTGTACGGAGTCGTGTGCCACCACGGTGTGCTGGGCGCAGGGCACTATGTGGCGTACATCAAGGACTCGCTCGGGCAGTGGTTTTGCCTCGACGACACGACCGTGACGCAGCTGCCAACGCTCGAGATGACGGCGCGCCTCATGCAGTCGGCGTACCTCCTCTTTTACGAACGCCAGGACGTGGCTAATGTCAGCGTCGCCGACTGGTTTCCGCGGCGGTCGCAGGCGACGATCACGGTCAACCTCGCAGCGATCAAGGGCCAGCTCACGTCCTTCAAGGCGCCGTCATTGCCGAAACCCTCGCCGCCGAAAGCCAAGGCGGGCTGGACCAACGGGTGGTTTGCCAAGCCGTAGTAGGACTAGTAGTAGGACAGTATTGCATTGGAGTCTGTGAGTAATCGATGCGACGGGTAGTCGGCGTCCTCGAGCTCCAAGACCGGCCTGTTGCGTTGACATTGAAGAGCCCGACAGTGGCGTCGATCTCGTATCCCAAGGATCGACGAATACACAATGTCGTCGAAAACACTGTTTAAAAACAGAATTTAGATCTTGGATACAGGTATTGCAACGCGGTCATTCGCTCGTCCAACACTGGCGCCGCAGAGAGCGTCGACGGCGTCATCCGCCAGCTCGAGTGTAGAGACGCTCGTCGTCAGGGCGTGGCAGTGAGCCAAGGAGAAGCACACGGCGCGAATGGCTCTGCAACCGAAGCATCGGTGGAGCAGGTCCCACTGCAGTGGTGCTCTTCCTAACAATTGAAGAGGTAGACAGACAATAGTGCGTGTGACGAGTAGGACTGCTGCTTATTCAGACGGTTCGTAGGTTCTAGCATTGTAGATGAACTTTCCGCTGTCGGTAGATCGCCCACAACACAGGACGGAAACAAGACGTCGCGAGTGCGCCTGCGAAAGGTGCTGCGTGATCGGAAGCCAGTTGCGTGTTGTTGGTCCCATAACCTCGAGGACAGAAACCTCCACACACTTTACGAAGGGAAAGGCGATTCGGTAGAAGCTTCAAGTAGACTATACAAACCCAAAGTGAAGCATCCTTTACACGCTTCTGGCTCGCCGCCGGGGA